ATGTTTACTATATCACCCCTTTGTTCTAAACATACACATGTAAAGTCACTGTGTACGAGCGTTTATTATAGCCCTGTCTTCTGCTGCATATGCACATGTAACGGTCCCCTATGTTTCCCTTTGAGGGTGAATGGGAGGGTGGGATAGGCTATGGCTGTGTTGTGTATGCGAGTGAGTCACACCTGCGCTTATGGCCTTAGGCAGGGTTTTGGGTTTAGGGTTTATGTCTGTGCGTGTTACAGTATACCGATGCCCTGGTAGCCTACACTAAACTGAACACAACATGCGTGGTGCAGGTAGTTTACTATGTAGATGGGTTAAGGGAATATTGTGTGTTCTCATTGTGCTTCCATATCGAGAGTGGTGCGGTTTGGCTATCGTTGTGGTGTTGTGGCTGAATAGGAGTGTACACGTATATTTATATTTATATTTATATTTATATTTATATTTATTTTCATATTTATATTTATATTTATACCTATTATATATTTATATTTATATACTCATTCGCTGGGCACATACCTTCTCGTGCCTTTCTCACACACCTACATACGCGAACACATATGCCTCTTCTGCCTCGGCAGGTTTGCACAAACAAACAAACAAACATACCTAAGCCATCCCGCCCACTCATACCATCACCCAACCCATCTCTCCATTCACTTACTTGCCATCCGTTGCACTCAGGCATGCGTCGTACCAAGACAAAGTCAACCTATACATGCTATTCGAGTACGTGGTTGGGGGCGAGTTGTTTTCGCATCTGCGTAAGGCCGGTCGTTTTGAGAACACTGTGGCCAGGTTCTATGTGGTGGAGATTGTACTGGCGCTAGAGTACCTGCACCAACAGAATATCATATATCGAGACCTCAAGCCGGAGAATATCCTCATCGGTGTGTTGTATATGGACATATGGGTTATGTATATATATATATATCTACTTCTGTATCTATATCTATTGCTATATGTATAGGTATAAGCATATATGTGGATGATATATATATATATATTTATATATATATGTATGTATATGTATGTATGTATGTATGCATGTTTCTGTTACCGTTTCTGTTTCTGTTTTTGTTTTTGTTTACGCGTGTGTGTCTGTATATATATATACATATATATGTATGTACGTATGTATGTATGTATGTATGTATGTATGTATATATATTTATGATACTATATACATCTTTATTTATTTATATTTATATATATATATACTATATAGTATGTATGTATGTGTGTGTCTGTGTCCGTGTCTGTGTCTGTCCGTGCGTGTGTGCATATGTGTACTTGCGTAAGTCTGTATATGTATATATATATATACGTATATTGTTTCTTTGTTTCTTTGTTTCTTTGTGTGTATATTTCTATTCTCACATTGTCCACATATACCTTCACCCTCCCTTATCCCACCTCTCCCTCCCACCACCCAGCCCAACACGGCCATCTGAAGATCACTGACTTTGGCTTTGCCAAACGTGTGACTGATCGCACATGGACACTCTGTGGCACACCTGAGTACCTTGCACCCGAAATCATCCAAAGCAAAGGCCACGGCAAGGCTGTCGACTGGTGGGCTCTGGGTGTGCTCACTTACGAGATGCTGGCTGGGTAAGCGTGTATTATATATGTATATATAT